TCCAGGCGGGGCAGTGGGGTAGGGACCGGGGCCATTCCAGGCGGGGCAGTGGGGTAGGGACCGGGGCATCTCCCGGAGGTGGTGGGCGGAACAGTGGCTCAGGGAGGAGCAGCGGGGTCGGGGCACCTCGCGGTGGGCTCGGAGGAAAGCCCCTTCCCCGAGCCGGGGGAAGGCAGCGATTGCCGCACAGGGACCGGTCCCGCTGCCTCTCCAGCTTCTTACCCCCCCCGCTCCCCCCTGCAGAGCCGCGATGCTGCCCTGGCGCAGGAACAAATTCGTGCTGGTGGAAGACGAGCGCCAAGGCAAAGGCAAGAGCCTGGGCCCGGGGCTGAGCTACGCCTCCCTGCTCTCCAGCTTCGTGCGCTCCTGCCCGGACCTGCTGCCCGAGTGCCCGCTGGAGCGGCTGGGCAGCGTGTTCCGCAGCCGGCGGCACAAGGTGGAGCTGAACCCGGAGGACCCCACCTACACGGCCTGGTACCTGGGCAACGCGGTCACGCTGCAAGCCAAGGGCGAGGGCTGCACGGACGAGGCGGTGGGCAAGATCTGGGCCAAGAGCGGCGGCGGGGCCAGCGGCACCCAGGTGAAGCTGACGCTGGGGGCGCACGGCCTCCGCCTGGCCCCCTGCGAGAAGCGGGGCGGCGGCGGCGGGCGGCGGCCGGGCCATGCCTACCTGCTGCGCCGCATCACCTACTGCGCGGTGGACGGCCGCCACCCCAAGCTCTTCGCCTGGGTCTACCGGCACCAGGTGAAGAACAAGGCGGTGGTGCTGCGCTGCCACGCCGCGCTGCTCTCCAAGGCGGAGAAGGCGCGGGCCGTGGCGCGGCTGCTCTACCAGACGGCCAGCGCCGCCTTCAGCGACTTCCAGCGCCTGCAGAGACAGAACGACGCCCGGCGCCTCCAGCGCCAGCGCCTGGGCGACTCCATCGTCCCGCTGGTGCCCATCCGCAAGCGGCTCAACGGGCAGTGCCCCTACCGGCCCCCCGCCGACCGGAGCCGCCCCGCCCGCCGGCTCAGCTCCATCCTGGAGGAGGAGGAGGAGGAGAACCTGGGCGCCTCCCGCAACAACGCGCCCTCGGGCGGCCTCAGCCTGGCCACCGGCTGCAGCCATCCCGCTCCGGCCCCCCAGCGCCGGGAGCGGGCCGAGGTGCTGACTTTAGCCCGGGAGATGAGGGGCTGGAGCCTCCAGAGCCCACCGCCCTGGAAGCCCGCCCAGGAGAGGCCCTGCTTGTCGGGCTGCTGAAGCCAGAAGGCTAGAGACCGCCCAGCTGCCTTCTCAGAAGGGCCCGCCTGCCTGGGCTGAGGATGGGCAGAATGAGTCTGGAAATGCCACCTGCGGCTGTGCCCCTGCCCGTGTTCCCCTCGCTGCTGCCTTTGCAGCCTGAGGAGAGGCAGACAACAGTCATCAGGCCCTGCGCTCACACACAGACTGACTGACCTACCCAGCCTGCAGTTAACACTCCTTCACTGCCCTCTGAGTACAGGCACCAGCTCCGATGTGGCCCTTTCACCTGAGCGGACATTGAAATGATCTAGACCGGTTGGTGCATATCTCCATCTCTTCCACACACCTCCCCGCCCCTACACACACACAGACACTTGCTAACCAGCTCAGAGAAAGACTGCACTGACTCTAATGACTGGCATTAGAGCCATGGACAGGCTCCTGCTAAACTGAGACATATCCGCAAGTTCTGGAAGGGTGAAGGGTTCCCTGAATGGGCAGCTGCCACAGATTGGGCAGGGAGCAACTCTTGTGTGTATTTTGTACTTCCAGTGATTTCAAGGAAAGAGACACACACACACACACAAACTGGGGGTGGGGGATGATATTTCCATTTCAGCAGAGGGAAGGAGAAGCTGGTTCAGCTGAAGTGACTTTTACTACTTGATCTAAACTAAAATTTATATATTAAAAAAAAAAGCCATCTATTTACAGAGAGATGCCCTTAGATTTCACTTCTATTTCAACGTGCAATTTTTCTGTACAGTTTTGTACATGTCACATAGGACAGGTGCCTGTATGTGTCTGACACTGGGGAGGGGATGTGGCTCGGGATGGGATGTACAACACGATGGGGCTGAGGGGCTGGTTTTCCAAGGTGCTGGGCCCCCATAGCTCGCCAGAAGGGGTTGTGTGGGTGCTCCAGAGCTCTGCAAATCAGGCCACAGTTACATGGCTAAAGATAAGTGTCTAAATTCATATTTAGGCACCTAAATAAGCATCCTTATTTTCAGAGGTGCTGAGCACCTGTTGTCTTTGGTGGGATTTGAAGAAGTTCAGCAGCTCTGAAAATCAGCCCTCTTTGAGTTAAGTAGCTAACGGTGGGTTTAGCTGTCTACAATTTGGCACCCAAGTTTGGAAAATTTGGCCCTGGGGTTGCCTAGCTGTGCAGGGCCGCCCAGAGGATTCAGGGGGCCTGGGGCAAAGCAATTTTGGGGGCCCCTTCCATAAAAAAAGTTGCAATATCATAGAATACTATATTCTTGTGGGGCCCGGGGCCTGGGGCAAATTGCCCCACTTGCCCCCCCCCCTCCCCGGGCGGCCCTTTAGCTGTGTCTTAAGGAGATGGGCTCTAGAACACCCAGGAGTCAAATTCTTCATCTTGCTTTGGCTTCAATGGGGTTACATCGCGGACAGATTTGGCCCACATGTGTCTGACTCTGGGGATGAGATGCAGAGCATCACACACAGAGAGAAGCTTTGTTCTGACACAGAACATGGGGTGTTTTAACCCCAGGAGAAGATGGTCAGTTGCACGTCTCCTTTGTATGTTCACAGTGCAAAGCCCAACGGCGTGTGTGTGGGCGTGCATACACACACACACACACGCATATCATGTGGTAATTGTAATAAAGATTCTCTGCGTTTTCTGCAATATGATTACTGTGCTTTATCTTTTGTAAACATTTTGCTGCCATTGTATCTCAAGAGCGTCAATAGCCAGAACCCAAACTGGCTCAGCGCTGGGTGAGGGATCGGGCTTCTATCTATTGATCTAGCTCAGAGTTTTATACTGCTGCCTTTCACAGGAGTATCTGAGTGCCTTCCTGGAAAAATTAATAGCGGTATCAACGTTCCTAGTGGTCTTCATGGAGACGCTGGCACCTCTCCCTTTATGGGGTCCAGTCTAGGTTCTGGACCAGGAGGGCCATTTGGCTAGATTATGTACCAAGCCCTGATTATAAATGAGGGATTTTACTGCTCTGTTGTAATGGCGATGATGGTGGTGATGATGTTTGTGTGGGTGTGTATGTGGACGAAGGTTTGTTTGCTAAAAGGGGTTTGTGTTTGATTATTTGTGTGCACGCGCATATGAATCTGTGTGATCGTGTCTCTCGGTGTGTGCCTATGCATGTATCTTTTCCAAATGTGGACTCACACTTTGTGTGCGTGTGCATTTCATGTGTCTGCCGTGGGTACATGTAGGAATATAGATACACGTTTGGCTTCAAACTGGGGAGCTGTAGCAGGATGCCCAAAGCCCACATGCTGACGTTCAAATTAGCATGTACCACCAGTAAGTTACCTGCAAGTGCATAAATACCTCCTCTAAGTGCCAATTTCAGTGACCAAATGTGGGATGTGGATGTCCCATTCAGGCACTTGTTTGACAACAGAGCCCTATATTTCTCTGTGTGCTGAATGCCGGGTAGGTTGTAGACATGAAAGCATCTCACCCTTTTTGTGTGGCGCTCTCTGGAGATCAGTCCCTAGCAACCAATTATCAGAAAAGAGAGAAACTCTGGAATGATTCTGTGCCCTAACATGGAGGAACATCCCGGAGTGTATTGCAGGAGGAGGAGAAACGGGGCTGGGGTAAGTAGTTTTGCAAGCAGACAGCTGCATTATTCCCTTTCATCTTCCCCGGGGCTGCCACCCCCACGCTCCCGCAGCATTTATCTCCACTCTTGGGAGGAACAAACAGCTCCTGAAAAAACAAAACCGTAGAAAAGTCGCGACATGCTTTTAAAAATCCACATTCCCTCCCGACGGCAACGGAAGCTCTAGAAATTATGTCAAATAAACAGCCGCTTCCAGTGGCCATGGCAACCGGCATTTTTAAAATCATGAGGCCAAATGCCTCTGTGGCATAACTCCACCCCCTGCGAGGAGCTTCCACCAGGGAGGGACTGGTCCCATTTAAGCTAAGAAGATTGTTTTCCTCTTTCTCTTTATTCCCTCTGCCTTTGAGGCATGTGGGTTTTATTAAAAGCTTATTTGCTTTGTGTTGAGTGACGGGGCTGAGAATCAGCTGTTAGCCTTTGACTGGGATTCAGACGCACATCCCCAAAGCAGGGGCGAGGACTGGGGGACATTATTATTCCTGTAGTGCTGATGACTTGCCCTTCGCTGTTGTTGAATACACAGAAAAAGACCCATTGCTGCCCCAAAGAGCTTACAAGGTGGATGTGTGGCCAAAGTCCAGCCCGAGGTGTACTGGCATCCTAAGAACTTGAGGAGAGGGGCTAACCCACCAGTTAAGCTGCCCCTCGTCCCATTTTTATCCCGGCCCGTTGGTATTGGGAACTGGTTTATTGGCCAGCTGGTCTCTCCACCTGACCTAAACATGCTGGGATGGGCAGGGCTGTATTCTTGGGGAGTTGGATGCGGGAGGCGGGGGGAATCTGGCTGCATCGCTCCGTGGGGGTCCATTCCAAGTAGCAACCAACAGGCCTGTCTTTTTCTGCCAGACAGGGACAGACACCTCCCCTGTATTCTCAGCATTGGGTCCAGGCTGAGGCCAGGAGAGGAGAGGATGGAAAGTAACTGAAAGCAGAATCCTTGCAAAATCCCCAGCTCTGTGTGGCCGGTATCTTGAACCTGGAACTCAGTACGAAAGTAGCATAGTTCCCACCCCCACCCAATTCAAGACTTACAGACCCTTTCTCTGTTGTGGGCAGTGTTGTTGCAGGCGTGGGTGGGTCCCAGGATATTAGAGAGAAAAGGTGGGGGAGGTCGTATCTTTTATTGGACCAACTTCTGTTGGTGTCAGAGATGCGCTTTCGAGCTACACAGAGCTCTTCTTGAGGTCTGGGAAAGGTACTCGGAGCATCCTTAGGCTAAACAATCTATTCCACCTTGCTGAGCTGTGACACTCGGCGTACCTCCCCAGACCTGATGAAGAGCTCTGCGTGGCTCAAAAGCTTGTCTCTCTCAACAACAGAAGGTGGTCCAGTAAGAGATATTACCTCACCCACCTTGTTTCTCTAAGACCCCTCTTCTCACAGAGAGGAGAAGCATTCTCAGCTGGCTGACTATCCTGTCTGCGCCTAGCTTGGCCCTGTGTGTGGGCCTGGCCTGACCAGAGGTGGAAGATGTTTAGCTCCCAACTAGACACAACAGGAACATGGAAGGTACATGTTTAACTTGTAACCCTTTCCTTGGTGCAGACACCTAAGGCCATTACCTCATCACATGCTTGTGTCTAGCAAAAGGGATCTTAACCCTTTAGAATGCTTCCTGATTTCCAGGTGGGTGACACCTGGCCAGGGCGTGCATGTCTTGGGGGCTGTGGGGGCAGGTAGAAGGAGGATTCTGGTGGCTGGGAAGTGGGTCAGGCCGCACAACAGGGGGCTAGGAGGCTCTGGATTTGGAAGGGAAGTGTGGTCTTGCCTTGAAGAAGGGCATTTTGTGACAGGTTAGACAGCTGATGCAGAGTCAGGGCATCTCTCTGGATAAGTGATCCCTCTGGCAGCTGGGAGGAGGGAACCTGGGTGGATGTCCAGGAGTTTAGAAAGAGGGTTATGGCAGCTGGGTAGAAGATCAAGGACCTCATTACAGGAAGGATTTGGCAGTTTGTTGCCAGGAGGTGCGGGTGGGGGATCATGGTGGGGTCCAGCAGCTGCATGAACTTACAGATGAATTTGCAGACTCATCCCCAGCATCCTAAGGTCAAGAGTCCTTTAAAAGTGAAAACTTTGCTAGGGCTAAAGCAGTCCTGATCGCTGCACGTGGCTTAGAAATCACACTCCAGCTCTCACCTCCTAGAGATTTAATCAGCTAGAGGCAAGTCAGTGCAGCAGCCATGGCCAGCGTCAGTCAGACAGGAACACATCCCTGAAGGAAGAGAAGCAACCAGAGGCAAAGGAGAACTCGGGGATACGCTGCTTGAGAACATTCTCCCCGGTGGACTCAGCGCTCCCATTAGTAGATTGCTGCTTGTCCCTGGAGAGCTTAGAAGAATCTCATGTGCCATAGAACTTCAACTGCTTTGACTTGTCAGAGATGTGGCCGTGGGG